TGTTACATGCCAAATCTAACACAGAAAAATGCTTGTCATTTATTTGCATGAAAAAATTTTCATTCGCATGGAGATATTTATAGATGTGAGACTTTTTGTCCCTCTTGTAATATTCAGGTATCCAGGACTTGAGATGGCGAGTTGCTTCGCCTATATATAACAGGAGTTACATCCTTCACATACGAAATTATACACCACAAACGATTTGAACTCTTGAAGAATAGGATTTTTAGAAGAAAAAAATTTTGAAATTTTCAGTGAGGTAAATACAAATTTATCATTTACTGAACTTGTTGTTTCACATCAAAATCGACTTTATAAGTTTAACGTTAAACACCTTGTTTTTTAATGCAACTCAACATAATTTATATACAATCAGATTCTCTTGGTATTTACAACTATGACGCAAAATACAGTCATATTCAGTCATATATACAATCATATTCTCTTGGTATTTACAACTATGACTTTATATTATATACAACTATTTATAATTAATGGAAACCGATTGTTAACAATCATAAAATATAATTACACTTTACACTTTCCCTTGGTCACAATGACCATCTCGTCTCAAGGACTAAAACGTTTAGGGGCCCTCCTTTCTCGTGTGCTTCTATGTAACACTGACGTCTTGTATATTTTTTCTCGAGGCAGCACAACGTATAACTCATCTTCTGAATCCTCACTTAAATCATTATCACCTCTTCCTTGTCAAAGATCTTTATTCGAATTGTTGTCAACTTGTCTTAGGTCTCGTCCATGTCGACACATTTTGTCCACTTCTACCGTTTGCTCCGAGATTATCCCTGTAATTATTCCAATATTATATTGAGAGTCGCATCGGCTTTCCAGGGGTTTAACCCATAATTTATCGCCAAGTTTGAATTTATTGGTTATCTTCTTACTATTGGGCACTCTAGTAAGGGCATCGGTTAAACTCCAAAGCAACAAGTTTAATATCTACTTTGAGTTGGTATTCTTCCACTATATTCACAATGTTATGAAGTCTTCTTCTTATCAGCATTTCGTTTGAAGCTTTTGTTCTCAATCTAGATTTTTGCATGAGTGCGTCGGTAACCCAATGGAATATCGCTTTCGAATCAGTGCAGATGTGTAGAATTTCCATTTTCCAATAAAGGCCCATATTTAGTCCTTTAACTACTACGTCAAGTTCAGACATGTTTATATGTGTTGTGTCGTCTTTTCTTAACCAACAAGCGTCTTCGATTATATTGCCATCAACCTCGACAACCACGCCTAGTGCTATTGAACTAGCATCTACCCAAATTGTCGTCTCGTTGCTGTAAACACTCCAAAATAATTTAGCAGGATCGTTGATTCGTGTTCTTTTTATCATATCATTCAACATTTTCTCCAGATAATTGCATTTTATTTTTTTATCCCACATTTTTGTCAAAGCGTTTGCCTTTTTTTATTCTTTTAACATATGACGAGGCTACACGCAACCAACCACAAACTGGAAGATTTCCCGTCATTTTCCGCACAAAGAAAAGATGTTACGTCTTGTTAGTGATTTCGGAATTTCACCAAAATCATTATCTCTTCTCCAACACAACTTTTTATTTTCCATTCCGACTTGTAAACCAAAAACTCTTGCTCCATCGAATACGCGGACCACCGGCTTGCAATGAAGCCCATAGGTTTCCAAATGATCAAGTACGCGACGAACAGGTATTATGTCTTCATTCACAAAAATATCATCAATGTATGATGACGTTCCTTTCCAGATTTTTTCGTCTTGCGATAGCACTTTGTCCAACAGCGCTTTCATTATGACTGGCGCAACGTTTAGTCCGAATCCCAAACGTGTTAAACAAAATCTTTTTCCACGGAACACAACAGTTTGGTAAGCCCAAACTTTCTCATCAATTTTTAGTTGCATGTAAGCTGAAGATAAATTAATTATTGAAACATTTCCTCCAAACCGTCCCCAGTCTTGAAATTTGTCAGCACACGCATCTGTAATTGCAGTGAATGCTTCAATGAACGTGTTGAGTTCCCTAAAGTCCAATACTGATTGTACTTTTCCTTTATTTTGTTGCACGACTGCCATGAGAGGAACCAAACCTCTTATTGGACCGTGTTTCTTCAAATCTTACTTTTGCAGTCATTTTTTCTCTATCCATCCTTCAATTTCTTTTTCGTAATTGTGTTTTATGCCAACAGGGATAGTGTATTCAGCAATCTTGTTCACTAAAGTTTCAGGTTGAGAACTATTGTTCTATTTACACGCAATTATCCTTTCTCGATTTTGTTTTTCAAACGAAGCTGTGAAATCTCGAGCTGTTATATTCAAATTATTGACATCTTTTGGCATATCACTTCTTATTCCAAGTAAATATGATTTGTTTCTTCCCAAAAAACAAACATCATGAGTTACAGATATTGATACTCCATCAAAAGCCGCTATTCCATCCATGCCCATCAAAAAACAATAACCAAGTGGTTTGAAGTTACCTACAAGTGCTTCAACAAAAACTTCATTCCCATTTAGCGTGACGATTCGAGTTCGGCTAATGTCTTCGCACTGTTGTTGTTGTCCATTTAAAGTTACCATGCTAACTACTTTCTTTGTAATTTTTAGCGCACATTGTTTATAAATGATACAGCAGGTACATCCAGAATTAATCAACGCATCACGAAGAACGCCGTTAATGTCCAAGCGTATTGTAGGTAACACCATTATTGATCTTTTTGGGAGAAAGCTGGCGCAAACATCTTCTCCCTCGTCACTTTTTATGGACACGTTCTTGATATGTGTCTTTTCTCTTGACACAAGTAACACAAAACATTGCTTGTCTCCCGTCTCCGACCCAACTTGCTTCAATTGCTATGTCTTCGTAGATGACAATCTCTTGCAAAATGATTGGGAAGTTTACATTCATAACAAACTGGTTGTGTTTGATCTTCAAGCAACCTCAACTCAGCACGTCTTTTTGTTGCAGCAGCAGCAAAATTTTCATCCGTTCCATCGTTCCGTTCTTCAATCATTAGTGTTCTTGCTCGTGCAAGTATTTGTATAGTAGTAAAATCATACGAGAACTTGATCTCAGCCTCCGTCAAACTTTCTCAGGTTTTCTAATGCAACTCAACATTTATATACAATCATATTCTCTTGGTATTTACAACTATGACGCAAAATACAATCATATTCAGTCATATATACAATCATATTCTCTTGGTATTTACAGTTATGACTTTATATTATATATAACAATTTACAATTAACGGAAATCGATCGTTAAAAATCATAAAATATAATTATACTTTACAGAACTGCGATATCTTTTAGCAATTGAACTCAGTCTTTTTTTTGTTGAATCAGTTATTTTTCCCAAAAACGGCAGTTTAAAATAAGACAAAGATTCTTTGATTTTTGGTTGTGGAGGAAGATTTGAATTAATCTTGCTTAAATATGAGTTATATATTTTTGAAATGAGCCAAGATGGGTACATGTTTCTTTGAAATACGTTTATGTCAGAGTGAAACCCAAGTTTAGTACTATTTATTAACTTTCTATCGATCTATCGATTAAGCATTTGATTGGATTAACTCTGTACGAAAATCGAGTGAAACTATAAAAATTAGTGTGAAGACCAGAATAGGTTTTTTTATATCGTACAATGTTTATTAAAATATATATATATATATATATATATATATATATATATATATATATATATATATATATATATATATATATATATATATATATATATACATATATATATATATATATATATATATATATATATATATATATATATATTTATATATAACTTGAGTGACCATTTCGAAAAACAATAGCGTTGGTTATTTTATTATTTTAAAAAGTTTTGCATAGACGCTAATTGACTACCTCTATATATAAATGTGAAGTTTATTTGCAAGACCTCTGGCGTTAAAAGGATAAACAGATACTTCATTGTATGAATTACTCAGCAAACTTATTAAACAAATTTTTTTTTTTACTAATTCTTTTTAACGAATCGACATTTTTATGACTGTTATAGAAATGTTTAGATTTTTGTAAAAGAAATTAGAAGTTTAGATTAGATACCCCTGGATATATTGTTTAAGAAATTAGAACTATAGATTAGATACCCCAGGATATGTTGTTATGCAATATTTCGTTTATCTTTTATGATAAGCTGAAAGTGCTGACTCTCAAATAGGTTACTTAGCCTGTTTCTCTCGGCAATTAATAATATCTTACTTTCTCGTTAAACTAACGTAAGATCAGAGGTAGTATGAACTTTGCTTATGTATTCTTTTATTTCGTAAGCTTTTTTTAGTGTTTAAATTCAGCAATTTCAGACGTAAAGCAACCTTTTAAACGTTAATATATGTACACAAAACAATACATTAAACAATGCAGTGAATCAATATTGACTTTTGTTAGACATATATTGCAATATTTATACCAACCTCCGCAATTCAAAATATTTATTGAAACAAAAATCCGGAATCGAAAGTTGAGTTTCATTGATAAATTGAAAATAAGAAGTGACGGTTTTAAGCACTTAATTTATAAACAATCAAAAATGTATAATTGTCCATCAATAAAATCATAAACGGTTGTTTTTTTCTCTTCACTTTTAAGGAACAACTTATTTTGCAACAATCAAATTTTTTGACTTTAATTTTAAAAGACATCATTAAAGAGTTTGAAATATAATTAAATTAAAACTTCTATTATGGATGTAACTCTTTATTAATTTTTATACAATATTTCAAGGGATTATTGATACCCTCGTTGTCAAGTATATAAATATATATCTATACTTGACAACGAGGGTATCAATAATCCCTTGAAATATTGAATAAAAATTAATAAAGAGTTACATCCATAATAGAAGTTTTAATTTAATCAAATTTTTTGACTTTTTTTTTTTTTTTTTAAATTAGATTGATTAAAACCGGAATTAACGGCTACCGGTGTTCTAGTATAATACTTGAAATACTTTAAGCTTTGAAAGTCCAAAGTTCAACTTAAAGATATTTATACTTTGAACTTCATAAATTTTGTTTAGCAGTTAAGTTACTTTGTGGCACTTCTTTCTCAGCTGATTTTTTTCAAAAATGGATATCTTAGATAAGATTATAGACTTTTATACTTATGTTGATCGTATTAATGGTAATATGGCTTGTGGTTTTTCTTTTTGATCTTGTAGTATTTTTTGCTAAATATATTTTCATAAGATTTTAAAAAACTTCTACTTTTTTTTTACAGAACGTTCAAAAGTGCAAGACTGGCCTTTTGTGAGAAGTTTATATCCAACTTTGTCATTATGTATTTTCTATCTTATTTTTGTGTGTACATTTGGTTTAAGAATAATGAAAAAGTTCGAACCATTTCAACTAAAATGGATTCTAGTTGTCTACAATGCTTTCATTACAGTTTTGAATTTGCATATATTTCTAGAGGTATAAATATTAACGTACATTTTAATAATTTAAATAGAAAAAAAATATTTCAAGAGTTGTTTGTTCATTTTTAGCTTTTACTTGGGATGATTGACGCAAATTACAGTTGGCCTTGTCAGCCTATCAGGAGTACAGATGATCCTAAAGAATTAAGGGTAGATTTTTGAGTTATTGTGTAGTTTTTATATTTGTCAAAGTTTAGAAAAATTTATATTGTTTAAATTTTTTAAAATCTAGATAGCATCAGCATTATGGTGGTATTATATATCAAAATTGATCGAGTTTCTTGACACGGTAATCATTTACACAAATTATTATATTAGTACTCAATATTTTTTTTACTTTAGAACAGAACTGTTTAAATTTAAACAGTTTTATTGTAGAATTACTAAAAATTAATAATTCTTCTATTAAATTTTGAAAATATTTTTTGTGGCGTTACATTACTCTCCTTTTAAAATTTCCACTTATTACCAAACTTTTTGCTACAACTTTGAGGCTAGTCATTTTTTTAAATGTCAAACTTGATATTTAATGCTAAAAGTTATTGTATTTATAATGAAAAGTTCTTGAATTAAAATTAAATATTTGAAGGATTTATAGCTTGTTGTTTCTACTGATTTCTACTTATTAGTGACTTCACAACAGTTCTAGTGGCTATCAGGTATTTTAAAAACTGCTAAATTTAAGTGCAATTAACTGTTTACAAAAACTGTATTTTTTGTTAATCAGACTAAATGATCGAATCAGGTATTAAAACTCAGTTTGCATCTAACATAAAAAGTATCTGAGCAAAGTTAATAGAACTAGATTTCTATTTGAAAGTTATTTACTCTTCACTTGAAAAATATAAACTTCTAATTATTAATAACATATAGAAACAGGTTTCTTTACTAAACTAAGCTACTTAGTTTAGTAAAGAAATCTGTTTCTACAATACTACTTTTACTCCTACTGGATTTAATTTTAGATTTTATATTACTTATTGAGGCTGAAATATTCTTAATGATTTTAAATGATTATCCTCAATATTTATAAATACATCTTTACTATACATACATTTATATTAATTGACTAAAATCATTAGCAAAAGTTTTATAATTAATAGTTTTAAAATAGATATATTTTTTTGTAATTGTATTTTAAAATTATCTAGTAGAATTTTAAGTTTTAAAATTTTTAACAATTGAATGAAATGAAGTGCCCATAAGACTTTTTAATGTTTGTGAAATGGTAATTTCAAGCATTAATCAAACTCTCAAGTTAAGTTGTTAATATTTATGTTAAATGTTAACAACATTCAGCATAAGTATTACCAACTTTTAATAAGTTTTATCTAATAACCTCTCAGTATTCCAAAGTTATGACCAATTCAATCCAGTTTCCAATCAATATTAAATGAGGTTGTAAATTGAGGATTTATTGTTATTCGTATTCTTATTATTTTCATTCTAGTCATTCTTGTTCATTATCATCATTCTGGTCATTCTTGTTCATTATTATCATTCTGATCATTCTTGTTCATTATCATTATTCTGATTGAACATTTAAATTTATTTGTTGAAATTAAATGAAATTGTTCAGTATATGTATGCATGATAAGATCTTCTTTTTTTTTTAAACAGGTGTTTTTTGTACTGAGAAAGAAAGACAGCCAGCTCACATTTTTGCATATTTATCATCATTCAACCATGCCAATTTTATGGTGGATTGGTATCAAATGGGTTCCAGGTGGCTCTTGTAAGTTTAAATCACTTTGGGTATCATTCATTATCAATTTATTAAAAAAATTTTAAGGTTTACATTTTTGTATTTAAGTTTATTATAAGTTTATTGGGTTTTGAATGTAAAAGAAAATTTCATGATAAAAATTTCTTTAAACAAAGGGGTATATGGCTATATAAGGCTTGTATGTTTTGATTAGGTTTTTTAGGTGTTTCAAATTATTTTTTAAATTGGAGTGGTCTTGATTTCACACTTTTCATTGAAAAAAAAAATCATATTTTTCCTATTAGAAAATTAATAGTTTGTTGAATCAACTCCAGGTGCACAACTGACCTGAACACTGGGTTTATTTTGTGTGCCAAGGTTTTTATTTGTGTTTTTTGCATTTTAAGTTACCTTTCCTTCTTTTTGTTACAAAATTTGCACCTTGGCACCAAAAGAAAACAAACCTTTACTAACATCAATTAAATGGAGTTATTTTATCAAGTCAAGATTAAGCTTAGTTGATAAAGTAAAGATATTTTTAAAATACATAATAGAATGTTCTAAAATTGATCTTATCATAGTATTCAGAGTAAGTACCTGGATCTGAAATTTTTGATTTGACAGTACAAAACAATAGTTAGAGTTTGTTTTAAAGCTGGTTACTACAACTACAATGAAATTCTAAGGTATTTTTTAGTGGTCTTCTGGAGTTCCTTAAGTAAAAACAAGTTAATAAATTTTTATAAATAAAAAAAAAACTTTAATTTTCTTAAAAAAATAGCCTATTCTGTTTTGCAACGTATTTTTACAAAATAAACTTATTTTATTTATTAAGTTGTAGTTGATTTAAAGTAATTTTAATCGATACTATTTTGATAATTTTAATATAATAATTTTATGATACTATATAAAACAAGATGGTAGTTTACTTGAGTTTTTGTATAAAGATTTTGTGATACTATATAAAACAATACAGTAGTTTACTTGAGTTTTTGTATAAAGATTTTGAACAAATAAAATGTTAAAAAAAAGAAAATTAAATGAACATTTACACTAGGCCACTCAGTTTAATGAACATTGAAGACACAAATAACAACGGTGTTAGCCAGGAATATATTTTTTACAGCGTTTTTGCAACATTGGGAATATTTATTGTTATTGTTCTACAAAAATTAGGAGTTTTTATTGAAATTGTCCTATTACTTCAGCAACAAAAAAAAAGGTCATTTAATTTTGGGAATTTTAAACCCATCAGAAATTCCGCGGTATACACAGTGCCATTGGGCTGGCTAACACCCTGCTAACATTGCTTCTTGGGATACTTTCTCAAAAGTTAAAAAAGAATTAAAAGAAAGTCAAGTATTAAAAAAAAAAACCCTTGAAGAAATGGTAAAAGGCTGACACTTAGCCTTTACCAACACCAGGTATGTCTGGAACTTCAGCCAAAAATGGAAAAGCTTCAAAAAGGAAGATTAAAATGTTTCCATTGAATTTGCATAAAAATTTAATATTGGAGCATAACTCAACTATAGATATATCTTTAACTGACTTTCAGACTAAAATTTATTGCCTATGTCCAAGTAAAATTTTAAAAAGTATAAGTTAATTGAAAATTTATTATAAAATCTAAATTTATTGTAAAAAGTATTTACCTATCACAGGATTAATTTATTGTAAAAAAGAGTTATTGCAACAAATTTAGAAATATGAATTGATATTCAAAATAGTTTTAAAAATATAGTATTTTTTTGGAAAAATCAAAAATATATAAGCATTTTAATATCCTTTTAAAATTATGATGAATAATTTCAAAAAAATTTAACCCTTTCCTTGTATTATGCAAGAGTTCTTTACTAATGGCTTAATTTAAACATCGCATTAAGGTTTTATAAAACATCACATTAAGATTTTATAAAATATGATCATTAAAATAATTTTAATCATTAAAATATGATTTTTATTGCAAATGTTAGAATTTCCCATAAAACTTAATTTCTAGTTTGTTTCGTTACTTACTGTTTCTTTTCAGTAATGTTTAACTTTATTTTGTTTTGTACTGTTTGTTTTTTTTAAATGTTTATATTAGTTTTATGTAAACAATATTTTTTTGTTTCATCTCATTTTGTACCATTTTGAAACACAGATGCTTAACTCTGAGTCTATACTTAGCCCCATCACATTTGTATTTACTTTGATATTATTAAACATGTGTTGACTTTTTTGATTGTTTGAAAAAAATTATTTAATTTTTTTATTATAGCAATTTATTTTTATTGATTGCATAAGTGTTTCATTTATTGTTATCAGTTTTATTCTATATAATTGTTTAGCTGCACATGCTGCTATTTTAAATGCCTTCATACATATTATTATGTACTTTTATTATGGCATGGCTGCTCTTGGCCCACAATATCAAAAATATTTATGGTGGAAAAAGTATCTGACTCAAATGCAATTGGTAAGTATATGTTATATAAAGTAATTATATATGAAGACGCCATCTTCTGTGTTAAAAATCTTAAATTTGAACCTCGTCAGGGGTAAACTTTTTTGTTTTGAAGTTATAAGATTGTGAAACAAAAAGTAGGGGATTTAATTTTAAAATTAAAATATATTTTAATTTACTTATTTTTTTTACCTATAATTTATTAATTATAATTTTTATATAATTTTAATATTTTATATAATTATAAATGTATACTTATATATTTACTTTATACATTTTAACTTATATGAGTTTACCTTAATGTTTGACATTTTTTATTCTAAAATTTTTTTTAGATCCAGTTCACAATAGCTCTTGTTATGGGTTGTCTCATCATAAATATGGATTGTGATTTTCCAAGATGGATGTCATGGGCTTTAGTTTTTTATATGTCTTCGTTTCTCATTTTATTTAGTAATTTTTATATACAAGCATACATAAAACGTGTATCATCCAAGAAGAAGGTAACCTAAACATATCTTCTGTTATAATAGAAAAGCTCATAACAAGCGTTTACAAAAATGTTGCAAGAAAAACATTTAAAACAAGTTTTCCATGAAAATCTCTAAAAGTTAGGTACTTATAGGTAAGTTTATATGAGTTCAAAGAGAAGCATATAGGCGCCAATTAGGGAGTAAAATGTAAGTATTTACTTGCTTCGTTTTACAGCATTTCATTAACAAATTTTTAACAAATCTTAACTCCTTGAGACTTTTTTTATTTTTAGAAATTTATATCTATTAATATTAAGAAAACGAAATATTGACTATTGTTTTTGTTTGATATATTTAAAAAATTTGAAAGTAATATATATAAAATTAAAATTATGTATAAATAGTAAAATTAATTTTTATAATAGAGTTTTAATAGAAATTTAGGGTGTTTAATTTGAGTACTTTAAAAAGTATCAACTTGTTATTTTTTATGCTAGTTTTTATATATATATATATATATATATATATATATATATATATATATATATATATATACAATATTAAATTTAGGGAAGAATATTTTTTAGAATATATATTAGATAGATCTTATGAATGTAAACTACGAAAAAAAAACAATTTATTTATTCAGCGTATTTTTTTTTTTTTTTTTTTTTTTTTTTTTTTTTTTTTTGCGTAGCGGGAGTTCTTTATTTAGTCAGCCTGATTGCGGTTGGATAAGCAGGCTTTCGGGGTGTAATATTTTAATGCGATTATAACCCACCAAGATAATCAAATGATTTTTGGCTGTCGAACTTGCAATGTACATAAAAACCTAATACAACAATACGTTTGTTGAGTACTGATTTCAATCAATCGGAACAAAAGCGTTTTATAATTTTATTCTTTAAACTTCGTGTAACTAACTTGGTGATAAGTATCGAATTTTTATTTTAAAAGTAACAAATTTACAATTTGTTACTTTTAAAATAAAATTCAAAATCACAATCAGGCCAATGTTTTTTAGACGAATCTAAAATCTTTAATATTATTTTCGAAACTTGGTGCTCGTGAAGCGAGCTTAACCATAATTTTAATTTATATCATCCGAATTTAGCAACAGCTCATTGATATACATGTGAACGCGATTCAATATCGGATCAAACATTTAACAGTTGACAAATTTAAGCTCAGAAATATCAACGCGAATTATGTTTTCTTATTCTTTGACTTAACACCAATATGTGCCCAAGAATTGAAATACCAAAGTCTTATTCTTTTTTATCCAAACAACTTGGGACAATTTTTTAAATAAGTTCCATCACCTTTTGCTTGTTCGATATCATCTATTAGTAAGTTATTGACTCTTATGCTAAAAATCAATTAAGATAGCGAGAGATCTTTTAGTTCAAGAACTTTCAAAGACTTGTAATATACATGATTGGAATAAAGGTAGGATAATAAGTCTCTAAGAGATATAGAATTTAAGTGTTCCATGTTGCTATCTTTGAATGTATCAGAAATTTTCTTTTTGTATGCCTGCCTTGCTTTTATGTATGTGGTACCTCATGGAAACTTGAATCAACATCGTAGAAACTAAAATATAAATTATAGCTACTTTTAAAAACAACACGATATCGTCAAACATTTAAGTAATGTGTTCGTATTTTTACGTTTTGTATTTTCATTAAAAAATGCTTTGAATTCATCATTGAGTCCTGAAAGATTGTTTATCACTCTTGTAGGAAATAACTGTGGCATTTAAATTTACAGTTCAGTCTTTTTCATTACGAACTTCTCTCTTATCAATTTATTCCTCCTTTCATACTCTTGGTCTTTTTTTATTAATATTACTTTTCTAGGTATCTGGATTCCTGGTTTTTTATATGGGGTTTTGGTGTCAAAACTTGCTCTGATGGCACAATTGCCATCAGTGATATCAATGAATTTAATAATATATATTATTCAAATCAGAAAATTATTAAATAAATCCTCTAGCCCAAAAGTTTTGATGATTTTCTTAAGTCAAGCTCCAAATTAAAAGGCTAAAATAAGCTTTTTAAATGATATGATCATAATTTTTTGTTTTTTATATTGTTATGAAGCATATTTTTTTTAAGAATATATCTGATGATTTTCAATAGTTACACACTGACTGTCATTTGGATTGTGACGAGTAAAATTGATTTCAGAATTTGATAAATCATAATATGTCTTCAGTTTCAATAAATATCAATAATGATAAGTTAGTAACTATTGATAATAATAAATAATCAGTGACTTATGTATCCTTTTAAAGGTTACATGTATGCAGTGATTCATAATATGTCTTCAGTTTCAATAAATATTAATAATGATAAGTTAGTAACTAATAATAATATTAAATAATCAGTGACTCATGTATCCTTTTAAAGGTTACATGTATGTAGTGACTCATGTATCCTTTTAAAGGTTTCATGTATGTAGTGACTCGTGTATCCTTTTAAAGGTTACATGTATGTAGTGGATCATGTATCCTTTTAAAGGTTACATGTATGTAGTGACTCATCTATGGAACCATTAAAAAAATTAGAAATAGTTTATTAGAAAATAGTGTATTAGAAATAGTTGGCAAAGATAATCCCTGTAAACTATTAAACACAATATAAATTCTTATTGTGTTTAATTTGAGGGGTAACGAATATTTCCAGCAATAGGGTATTAATTACAATTAAATATAAACTAAGCAAAAAACGAATTACTCCATTAAAATGGTTTAGTCCACTAAAACGGTATAAATCATAACTTTATATAAACTAGAACAAGGAAACGGTTGACAGAAGACTTAAAAAGTTGAATGCTGTATGGATTAGGAAAAAATGAAGATGGGAGAGAGTTCCAAAGTGTTTAGGTGCGTGAAAAAAAATTAGGCGAATAAAATTTTTTGGAGCAACCTTGTAAAGAAGAGAAACCAGCCTACATATGACAATAGTATTACATACAGGGACGAATAAGAAATTTGTAGAAGTAGAGAATGGAACCAGAAGAAAGAAAATAGCGAGCACAATAAAGAGAAGCAATCTTAGTGGATGCTAACGTAGAAATTGTATATATGGTTTCCATGAAAGGTCATTAATTATAACCCTTAAAATACAATAAAAACATAATATCCTCTTAAATATTTATCGCACTTTACATAAAAACTACAAAATTGTAAGCGTAATAAAATACATTTTTGATTAAAGAAATTAACAAATACTTATCGTACAGTTTACATTGACAAAAAAAAAAACTAATCATCAAACTTTTTTTGTCTTAAGTTTTGCAAAGTGTTTCAAAAATAAAGCGGTTTGAATAATATTCAGATTCTGGTGTTCAATTGCTAATGTAGCAATTCACAAAGGTGGTCCTGAAATAGGGTTAATAGAACGTAATTTTTGATAATTTTTAATTTAGAAAAACTCATTTCTCACTTATTCGTAACTCTTGCCGTTAGCTGTCAAAACGGGATGCAGGTTTTTGCACTTTTTTTAAAATGCATCTGTTTCACATTTTTAAATTTTTTTCATGTTATAAAAAAATTCAAAATGTTTGCTTTGATTTTCCATCTGTTCAAATCTTTCTGGACCAAGATTTAATTGCAGTGTCTAAAACTACAAAAAAGAAACTTACTTTTGCCGACTTTACAGGTTCATCAGTTAACTTTTTTAAGGAACTTCGGATCAACGGTCAGTTTTTATCTAGTTCTATTTCATCTGTAAAAACACTATACAGTCCATTTTTCTACCTCATGTTCTCCAAAAAAGTCTCGACACTTTTAATTAGTTTCGAAGCGCTCAGCAGGTTAACAGATTTCATCTGAAGTGTTTTGCTTACTAAATTAAACTTGAACAAGACATCATACCAAGTGACCAAACAGCAAAAGAACTTGAAATCTGTAGTTTTTTTGGCCATTCCCATAGCGGTACAAAAGCATTAATCTTGAAATCTAACGTAGATTTATAAATGGCGTCATAAAACACATCGGTTTGTATTGCAAAGGTTCAAAGGCGTCTATCCTGCTCTTCCAACTGATTCCACTGAGAGGCTTTACAGTCAGATTGTTAACATGATTTGTTAATATACTCCATCTATGGGTGGATCCAGAAAAATATTGATTTATTCAATGTCTTTGCTTGTTTTTTGTCTTCTTTTTCCATATCTTGTTTATGTTTTCTATAAAAAAAATCCGAAGGTTTCATTGAAGTGCAGAGCAAAAACATACTAATAGTTTAAAACCAATGTTTAAAAAATAAACAATGGTGCCCCTAAATGTAAATTTACGATTACAATAAACATTTAACATACACAAAAAACGATTTGAATAAACTATTAACTCACAAATTTATTCTTTCAACAATTAAAATGTACAAAATCAATAGTGCAACATAAAATTTGGCGCCCCTTTCGATACTAAGATTTTGAAGAGTTTAGGAAAAAGAAATATCTAAAAATGAGGATAGAATTGCTATTAGCGCATCTTCACCAAAGTCTGTCCCATTAGACTTTTTTCTTTTCATCTTAAAAATTGAAAGCTCCAAGGGAAGTGATCAAGCCATTGCAATTCAAACAATGCTTGAATACTATGAAATGTCGGATCAGATAATTGGATTGTGTTCTGACACAATATCCAGCAACACTGGTAAAAATAAAGATGCTGTAAGCATTATTATTTCCTATGCCATTAAAAGACCGGTTCTCTGGTTAATGTGCAGACATCACATTTATGAAAGGCACGTGGCTCATGTGATCAAAGAAATTTTTGGTTCAAAAGTGGTCTCTGCAAGAAACTTTATGTAATTCTCCAAAAACTATGGCCGCAGATTTACAAAAATATCAACAAACTTGAGAGAATTGTAAAGTTTGGCTGGTCTCAAGATGCTTTCAGGCCCAGCTCATTACTGTTCAAACTTGCCTTGGATACTAAAGAGTTTTGTATCACAGCTTTTCATAAGAATGCTTTCCAGAGAGGTGATTACAAGTATCTTTGTGAGCTTCTGGCATTTTTTCTAGGAGCTGAGCTTTATCAAACTTTTCATTTAAACAGCCTGGAGCTCATCATGAAGCAAAACTTATAGCTGACTGTATATACTTACTGGTTATTCAGATGACTCAAATGTACCACCATGCTTATTCCGAGACTGTTAGAAAAAATAAAACCATCTGAAAGCTGCAACCAACTACATTGTATTTTGTCTCAACAAGTCATTTTTGCTCGTGCTGATAAGAATCTGAAAACCAAAGTTAAAACCAACATGTTAAACAAGCTGCTTTCTTATGATATTCCGGAGTTTATTTCTTATGATATTCCGGAGTTTATTTCTTATGATATTCCGGAGTTTATTTCTTATGATATTCCGGAGTTTATTTTTTATGATATTCCGGAGTTTATTTCTTATGATATTCCGGAGTTTATTTCTTATGATATTCCGGAGTTTATT